CTCTGAGCGAAAACGTTTTTCTGGTACTTGCGATTACTGCAAGATCAAAGGTCACAAGAAGGACCAATGATACATTCTAATTGGGTTTCCTCCCAATTACAAGTTTAGTAAGAAGAAAACAACTTCAAATGTTGTGGCAAATTCAACAGTTTATGTTGATCCGGTGGCTGCTCCCACTCGACTCAATTCAACAGTGTGTTCTCCTCAACTGTTTACTCAAGAATAGTATGAACAAATCTTGCAGTTGCTGAACAAACAACCTGTTGAATCTGTTGTTAACCTTGCAGGTACATTTACTAACGATCCTTTACATTTCAATGCTTCACTTAAATGGATTGTTGACACAGGAGCAACAAACCATATTGTATTTGATTTTAAGAGCATGAATTCTTTTAGTCCTTGTGATTCCTCTACTCGATTCATATGCTTTCCTGATGGAAAAAAGATTCATGTCACTCATCTTAGTTCCTGTAACTTTACTTCAGATTATAGCCTTGATAATGTTCTTGTTGTTCCACAATTTAAACATAATTTGCTGTCAGTATCACGGCTCACTCATGATCTTGGTTGTTCCTTCACCTTTTACCCTGACTTTTACCTTCTATAGGATCTCTGCACTAGAAGGATGAAGGGGATTGGTAGGCAGTCTAGAGGATTATATTTTTTTGAGTCTTCTTCTTTTGCTTCTGGTTTGTCTGTTCCTCAGCCCCCAGTTTTAAATCGTTTTTCCTTTACTGCACCTTGTATGAATTCTTCCAAGCTTGACACTTGTATTTGGCATGCTAGATTAGGGTATGCTGCTTTATCTACAATGAATAAAATAGACAGTTTGCAGTCTGTCAAGTTTCAGCATGATTTGGTGCATCAATGTTCTGTTTGTCCCTTAGCTAAACAAAATAGATTGTCTTTTCCTATAAGTACCTCTAGTTCGGCCATCCATTTTCAACTACTTCACATTAACTTATGGGGCGCGTATAGAATTTCTACATACAGTGGTCATAGGTTTTTTCTTACTATTGTTGATGATCACACTAGGATGACTTGGCTATATCTGTTGAAGCACAAAAATGATGCTATTTTCTCTTTAAAATAGTTCATTTCCTTTGCCAAAACTCAATTTTCTACCTCTGTTAAAGTAATTAGAAGTGATAATGGCTCTGAATTCTTTAATTCAGAAATGTTCCCCTTTCTTTTCTTCCCTTGGTATTGTTCATCAGAGTTCCTGTGTGGGCACTCCTCAGCAGAATGGTGTTGCTGAAAGGAAACATAGACACATCTTAGAGGTTGCCCGAGCTCTTCGTTTTCATTCTAATGTTCCTATTAAATTATGGGGTGAGTGTGTACTCACTGCATGTTACATTATTAATAGGCTTCCATCCTCCGTGATTAAATGGAAAACACCATTTGAAATGCTTTATCATCATCCACCATCTTTGTCTCATCTTAAAGTCTTTGGTTGTTTATGCTATGCAACAAAGCTGCACTATAATGATTAATTCTCTTCAAAAGCTATTCATGCTGTGTTATTAGGTTACTCTGCTACTCAAAAAGGTTACATTCTCTTTAATCTTGACTTAAAATTTTTTTTTTGTTAACCGATATATCATCTTTCATGAATATGTTTTTCCATTTAAATTTGCTTCCTCTAATCAGTCTTTTTTTCCTCCTCATCCTGATATACTTGACTCTGATTTTTTGCAACTCTCATTTCCTTCCTCACTTGACCAAACTCCTTCCTCAGATCTTGTTTTTCCTTCAGCCTCTTCAGAAATCCCCACTCATCATTCTTCAACTAATTCAGAGGATCTTTCTAATGCTTCAACAGATGTAGTTCCCATTATTATTCCTCAAGCTTCTGTTCCTAACACTGAGACTACTAGAACATCTTCTAGAATTTCTAAACCCCCATCTTGGTTACACGATTATGTTCATGCCTGCCAATCTACTTTTCCCTCAGGTCAGTATCCCATATCTCACTATATTTCTTATTCTCATTTACCAAAACATACACAATCCTTTGTACTTTTTGTTTCTCATTTCCTTGATCAAAAAAACTTTTTAAGAAGCCCAATCTGATCCTAGATGGATTAAGGCAATGCAAGAGGAAATTCATGCTCTTGAGTTAAATAAAACTTGGTCTCTTGTTCCCTTGCCCCCAGAAAAAGTATGCATTGGATGTAAATGGGTATTTCACGTTAAGTTCAAAGCCTCCGGTGAAGTTGAGAGGTTCAAGGTAAGACTTGTGGCTAAGGGTTATAATCAACAAGAGGGAATTGATTTTGTGGATACTTTTTCTCCTGTTGCTAAGCTTACCACAGTTCGTTTTGTTCTTGCACTTACTGCCATTTTTGCTTGGCCTTTGTGGCAAATGGATGTTCACAATGCTTTCTTGCAAGGTGATTTACTTGAGGAAGTTTACATGGTGAAGAAGAGAAATAGTATCATTTTTTCAGAAAAATAAGATTCTTAACAAGTAGACATTCCTAAAAACTTGTGAGTTTTTTCTGAAAAAAATAAGATTCTTTTGTATGTGAAAGTGAAAAAAAGAGAAATAGTATCATTTTCATTATGGTGAAGAAGAAGTGATTTTCTATATTATTTTCAAGTGTCGCATAAGATTTCTGTTAAGGGTTAACGGAAGTTAATAATAAAGAGACTTAAACTAGACGGATCGATAGCGTAAGAGACCATTTACTCTTTGTTAAAAGAAAATGAAAAAAAAATGAATGTGATTAAGGCTTTTGGATGTAGTTTTTCTTCACATATTTTTTATTTAGTTGGTGTTGATTTTGATCAACAATTTATCATAATTTACTCTTTGTTGCTGATTTGGATTTACAATTGTTGTCAATGTGATTTTCTTTATCTAGATAAATGAAGAATACAAAAAAAGTGTGTGAATATAATAAAAAAAGAGGGGATGTGCGACAATCTTAATATACGACTAAAGAAAGATATTACCGGAAATATTAATATTTTTTAATATTTCCAGTAAAGTGCTACATAAAATATTATTAAAATTAGATAGGGAAATTAACATTTCTGGTAGAAAAAAATAATGTTTTAGGTAGCGTTTTACTAAAAATATTAAAAAAAATATTAACATTTCTGGTAGCATATTTTCTTAACCGTATTAGGCTGTCGTATGGCATAACTATCGTAAAAAAGTGTTGTAACAAAAAAAAATATTAAAAATAGTTGACTTTCTATTAAGAGGATGAAACTCTCACTCAAGATTTTTAAGTTTTTTTTATCACCTATCATGTAGCTCTTCAACCACATCTACAAGGATGAAGCAACATAATATATTGTCTCCCATCCAAACCATCAACAAATATAAGTTCAACAATTAGTGAAGTATTTTATTTGATTTTGGCTAGTTTTGAATCGAACAATTTAACTATAATAAAATTAAGATAAAAAGGCATCCGATGTTCTTGTACTTCTGGAAAAAAAAATTAATTTGGGTCTGTTTATGTTTTCTTTCAACTTAGCTCTCAAACTTCAAAAAAAAAAAAAAATTCAATGTGACCCTTTGATAAATATTTTTTATCGTTTGAGCATTATCATGCTGACGTGGTAGTTCACGGTGCTAACTTGACAATCCATAATATTGATATGGTAATCCATCTACCATGTTTGAGTTACCAATTTAGCTTATCTGTCTAGTGGTAGAACATCATTGGGTCAAGGGGAGCTTTTACCCCGCCAATTAGTTTTTAAAATATTAAGTAATATTAAAAATATATATTTTTATAAAACAAATAAAGAAAAATTTATCAGACCCACTCAATTAAAAAATATATTTATGGAAAAAATAACCTCGCTATAATAAGTTTTTAGTTCCGTCCCTGATCTGTCATATTTTCCGTCATGTTATCAATCACTGTGGCCTCTCACGTCAACATCGTGGATTTCCACATCAATACTGTAAACTGCCACATTAATATCGTAACGGTCAATGACCAAAAACGTTAATCAAATGATCACAGTGGACTTATTTTATGAGTTGGAGGACTACACTAAGAGAAAAATAATACAAGGATCACATTATTATTTTTCTTAAAATACAGGGATCTTTGATATTTTTCCCCTAAAATTAATAATTATCAAGATAATAGTTATCATTATTATTACTATTACGGTTTATATACAAATTAATCAAATTGGATGAATAAAATGGTAGAATTATCATTCATACCTCTTAACTATACTAGTTTAGTTATTGTATCACTTAAATTTGTGTTATTCTTTTTGCTCTAAAAAAATTATTTGTTATCAGATCAGTTCAGTTATGATAAAAAAATAACATTATTTTATTTTTTTAATTAAAATATTGATATCTATTATTTTATTTTTTGCAACAATATCATTTGGGTTATGAATGGTTCATAAAAGTTTTTAACCGAATCCTTAAATTAAAGTTATGTTAAGTTTATCTTGTTGGTTGAAGTGGTAAGCAGTTTGACATGTCTTAAATAAGGTTTTGAGTTTGAGTTTTTGGGTATACAAAAAATTCCTGTTGAAACACTCACCTGCCAAAGTTAGGTGCGTGACACGAGTCGATCCGAATAATCAAAACGAAACTTTAAAACTGGGAGGCTACCAAAAAAAGAGTTAATGCTAAGTTTTTAGTTACTGGCAAATTTTTGTAATAGTTTAAGTGATTATAATTTATAAGATAATATATGTCTGTGATTATAAATATTATTTATTTAAAATTTTTCTTAATAATTTATAAGGTATGGGCATATTTCAAATAAAATTATTTGAACTCAAATCTTCTAAAAATAATAATTTTTTACCATCAAACCCACTTAATAAATTTTGATATTCATTTTTTTATAAAGATTAGAGTGATGGAATGACTTAATTATAAGGTTATTTTAAGACATTTGGTGGTGAGAGCATAAGTGGGTAATGGACTTTAGAACCCAAATTGAACTCTCTTTTTTTTCAACGATAAGAGCCCGTCAAAATGGTGGAAGAGCCCCGTTTTCTCATATTATCTTCCAGCTTCGACGCCGTTTCCCCGCAAAACAACCAGAAATTTCTTGCATTAGCAAAATAATATTGCTTCCTGAAAGGCCTTAAAGAAAGGTATGTTTCGTTTTCTTCAAGTTTGGGGCTTTTTATTGTTGCCGTTGTTTGATTAACCGTGTGTTTCAAACTCTTTTCACCCACTATCTGTCTCTCTTTATCTCGTGCCGAGTTTATATTATTTGCTATCTAATCAAATTCAATGCTTGCTTACTTAGGAATGAACCTTCGGAATTGATTTCTTGGTGCTTTACGGTTTTTCACGGCTGCGCTCGTTGAACTCCCAGAAAAAAAATCCCATGAACTTTTGGGATTAGGGTTTGCGTATTTATCTCTCCTTTCTCTCGGTATCTCACTTAATCTCCCTGGTAAGATTTAATCCACGAATTCTTTCTCTAGTTTCAATTAATTTCAGTTTACATTTTGTTAAATGTAGGTTTTTTAATTATTTTTTTAATTTCCAGGAAGCAGAAAACATCGAAGCTTTGAAATTAGTTTAGGGTAATTTTTTATTTTGGAATGTTTGAGGAGGAAAAGATGGATGAAGGAAAAGGAGGGGATCGCATGGATCAGTTCCATAGAAACGAAGCAATATCGGCCGTTGCTGATGAGAGTTTTTTAGGTGAAGAAGACGACGATTATGAAGACCTTTACAATGATGTTAATGTTGGCGAAGGGTTTCTTCAATCATTGAGAAGAAACGATGATGTAGGGTTTAGAAATGAAGAAACTAAGAATAGTTTGAATATTAATAGTGGTGGGAAAGTTTGTGGGTCACCAATAGGTGCTCCAGAATCTGGTGTTTCAATTCCAGGGGTTGCAGGTAGTGGTGAAAGAGGGGATTCTAGGGTTTCTTATGAGAGTCAAGCGTTTAGAGGTGGTGGTGGTGTTGATGATGTCAAAGGACCTAGTCCAGGCTTTGGTGGCGGTGGCTGTGGGCTTAGGGTTGAATTAGCTCAGGCTCCGAGTAAGTTGAATGAGGTGGTTGCGGAGCAGAGTGGGAATAAGAATAGTGGTTTAGGTAGTGCAGGTGGTATGGGACATCAGGGATATGGTGTGGGGAGTGTTGAGAATGAGGGTTTGGTGAGACAAGGAGTAGTAGGAGGTGTGGGTGTGAATGGCCCCGGTGCCAGCGGCAGTAGCTGTGGCGGTCCTATGATTGGGAATGGAGGTGCAAATATGTGTGTTGTTGGCCCTGGAGTTGGAGCAACGGATGGTGCAGGTGGCAGTGGAGGTGGAGGTGGTGGGACAATATTGTTTGTTGGTGATTTGCATTGGTGGACTACAGATGCTGAATTGGAGTCTGAGTTGTGTAAGTATGGACCCGTTAAGGAAGTAAAGTTTTTCGATGAGAAAGCAAGTGGGAAGTCAAAAGGGTATTGCCAGGTTGAGTTTTATGATCCAGCCGCAGCTACAGTTTGTAAGGAGGGGATGAATGGGCACGTGTTTAATGGAAGGCCTTGTGTTGTTGCCTTTGCATCGCCATTTACTGTTAAGAAAATGGGAGAGGCTCAGTTAAATAGGAATCAGCAGATGGCACAGTCTGCTCAAGCAAGGAGGGGTCCTAATGATGTGGGTGCTAAGACTGGTGCCAATAATATTCAAACTGGTGGGAATTATCAAGGTGCGGATAATAATAGGGGTTATGGGAGAGGGAATTGGGGAAGAGGCAATGCTCAGGGGATCGGAGGTAGAGGGCCAGGTGGTCCTATGAGGAACAGGGCTGGTGGAATGGGTGGCAGAGGTATCATGGGAAATGGTGGAAATGGATTTGGGCAGGGAATGGGTGGGGCACCTCCTCTCATGCACCCGATGGGTCAAGGTTTTGATCCTGCTTTTGGTGGACCGATGGGAAGAATGGGAGCTTATGGAGGCTTTCCCGGAGCTCCAGCACCTCCTTTTGGGGGGATTTTACCTTCATTCCCTCCGGTTGGAGGAGTTGGTTTGCCTGGAGTGGCTCCTCATGTTAACCCTGCATTCTTTGGAAGAGGTATGCCCATGAATGGTATGGGGATGATGCCCTCAAGTGGTGCAAATGGGCCTAATATGGGAATGTGGTCAGATTCTACCATGGGAGGATGGGGTGGTGATGAGCATGGTGGTGGGAGAGCTGGAGAGTCGAGTTATGGGGAGGAAGCTGCATCTGACCATAAATATGGCGAGGTTAGTCATGACAGAGGTGTTTGGCAAAACCCAGCCAAAGAAAAAGATAGAGCTTTTGAAAGAGAATGGTCTGGTTCATCCGAAAGAAAGTACCATGATGATAGAAAATCAGGATATGATAGGGACATACCCAGGGAGAAAGAACTAGGCCATGGTCATGATAGGCCAGAAAGAAGACACAGGGATGATAGAGACATTGGTCGAGAACGAGATAGGGAGCGCTCTCGAGATCGTGACCGCAATCGTGATCGTGACAGGGAACGTGATCGAGATAGGGATAGAGATAGAGATAGAGATAGGGATCGATATAGGGAAGACAGAGACAAATATGCTGATCATCGTAGGCACAGGGACCGTGAGCCTGAGCATGATGATGATTGGGACCGGGGGCGGTCATCAAGGACTCGCAGCAAGTCCCGATTATCACAGGAAGATGAGCATCGCCCAAGATCTAGAGATGCTGATTATGGGAAGAGGCCAAGGCTTACCTCAGAGTGACTTATCAGATGCTTTTTATATCAGTAACTTCTGCTAGAATTGTTTTTTTGAAAAGAAATATCAGTAAGGTAGAAACATTTTGTTCATCATTCTCTTTTGGTGTCTCTCTCAACTGGTGGTGTTGTGGTCATTAATTCATAGCCATTCAGAGTTCAATGCCTGAATTTGCTGATTGCTTCTCTTCCTTTGGAGGATGGTCTCCATTTCGCATGAAACAAGTAAGTTCCTCAATCATATTTTTCTTACCATATCATCCCGGGATCTTAATATCCATGAATTTTTTTCCTGAACGTTCAGAATTGTGCAATACTTGTTTTGATGTGCGTACAGTATGCATAAGTTTCTCTATTTATATACATGTGTCTAAATGTTGAAGATCTCAAAATATTAGCAATAGTCTAGCTAATATAAGATTTAATGTATAAGCTTAGTGTTTGTAATATAAATTAGGGAACCATTGGTGTTTCCCTTCTCGTTTCTATGTGAAAGTTGATTCCCGAGAATGAATTTTCTGACTGCAAGAGTCAAAAGTCATCTTCTTGAGATCCACTATGCTTCCCTTATTTTTGCTAATAAAGTTAAATGTAAGAATTCATTATTCCCTTGTATTCACTATTGCTTTGATTGATCTGTTGTGCATTTCTAATTACGGATGCTACTTGAATTCTTTGATGTATAGCTCGAAGGTATTTGATCTTGATATTTGAAGCAGTTCAGCAGAAGTATGGTATAATGGAAATGAAGATTGATTGCAGCGTCGGGAATTTGGGAGAGAGTAGATGGTGTTTCCTTTTGGTAGCCAGTCATGTAGAATGGAACCATGGTTTTAAAGTAGTTTTAGCTTTAAATTTGAATGAATGTTTTAGTTGATTGGACACTTGATGATGAAACCAATGTTATGGCATGAGATATGGTTAGATTACTTCATAAACTTAAAAAGAATAGTTTGAATTGTGGTGTAACAATAGGGATTTAGCTGAGGATGCTGCTGCTGATTGGTGATTTTGCATTTTATGTTGTATTATTTTGCCCCATCCCCCCTTTATTTTTTGATTATTTGTTTTTGGCTAGTTTTTAGCATTACATTTGTTTGTTTGTAAAGGGCATGTAAATTTATGTAACCATTTGATTTGAGCAATGCCACTTTGTTAGAAGGCCAATCAAAACCGTAGAAAATGAAAATGTTATTTGGAGGAAACATTTTGTTTCAACCACGTATGTGTGTTCCATTTTGTGAACCTTTAGCTAATTTGTATAAATAGATTTACGTTGATAGCCATTAAACAATGAATTTAATGTCTAAAATGATGGTAAAATAATTGAATGATATTTTTTGAACTTAATACTATAAAATGATGTGATTTTGAATGGAGTAAGCAAGGAAATTGACACAGACAGCTAAAAGCAGCGGTTGTGCCCTTGTTAACCAGACTCACTGCTTATTTATTTATGGGTAAAGAAAGAACCTTTTCCAACCCGTACAACCCAACCAATAGCATTGCCATCATTGTATTATATTATTCCCAATGATCAAAATATGACAAGAGAAAGACAACGAATATGTCAACCAATGATCATATCATACTACAAATTATTAATGTTAGTGTTGATAACGAGTAAATGGTCACTCATTTTTTAAAATGTTTGTAAATCGTATGTCTTAACTCGATTTGATGTTATACTACTTAACAGAAACTTGAATGTGTATAACTTTTTTTTTTTATAAATTTTAAAACTCTAATAATTTAAGGAAATCCAAATGAAGCATGGAATGTGCTAACGACTTAATTAATTGTCGGTGCTAACCCATTTCATTTGAATGGTTTTAATTAAGATTGCTTAAGAAAAATTAAAATTAAAGTTCGGCACAAGTTAGGCCACAAAAAGAGTGGGACAGTTGAAAGGCATTGAAAGTGTGAATTTGTGAAGGAGTTAAGCTTCCCTTTTCAATGGCCTTATTATTTATTAAAGATAAATCCCCAACAAAATTAATGAATTATCGGAAAGTCCGTAACCTTTTCTTTGTTATATATCTGAACAAGGCCATCCAAGTGATCTCAATAGTTAAGGTCAAGAATTCGAGCATGACGTTTTTATAAGAGTGTTTGAGCATTTATTGTCAAATAATTGAAAGCCTTTTGAATAAACATTGTCTCGTAATCGTACAGGCTAATAAAAAATAAAGAATCAAATGAATTGAAGATATATATATATATATCTTGTAAAAACAAAATATACATATACTTTTTTATATAAAAAGTGGAATTTCCCTTCAAGGTAGAAATACCAAAAGTTATTTAAAAGTAGAAATTAAAATAGAAGGCTAGTCCATGTTGGGGGATTCCAAACTTGAAGTACAGCTATATAATTTTCAAGTAAAACATCGATTCTTTTTGAAAAAACAAGTAGGAAATATACTTATTGTTTTTTATTTCTATAACAATTCATTTGAAAATTAAGAAAAAAAAAGTCAAAAGTATGAACAGCTTGATTAAACCTTACTCAATAATTTTTGCTAAGTTAATTATTGTTTCTTATTTCCATTATCTATAATGGAATTATTGCACATGAACCGTGCTTTATTTTAGACTTATTAAACCATTTTAAAAAAAAAGTATCTTTTACAGATTATTATGTCTTTTAGGCCCTATACCTAATCTATTGACCGCTATGTTCTAACTAGCCTATTCAATCCCTTCTGAAATATATTTTCAATTAAATGTAAATTTGATCATTTGTGGAAAAAAATTCGAATGAACTCTCTTTTAATAATCAATTGATTAGATTTTGATTGATTTTTAATCACATTTATCACTGATCACACTAGCAATTGTTAAATTTATTAGTGTCATTAGATAATTTCTTTTCTTAAGAAAATAAAATAAAAAAATATTTTGAATTTTGAAAAGTTTAGTAATTATAAAAAAATATAACTTCTTAAAATATATAAAAATATAATTTAGTATTTTTATTTATTCGGGAATATAAAAATAATTAGAAGAGAGGATGTTAAAACTTTTGTTTTTTGTGACGTGAATAGTTTTTATAATTTAATAAAATTATGATTTTCATTTTGATATTACACCACACTCGAATAAAATAAACAGGTAGAATTATTATTACTTAAACAACAGAATAGGTAGAACTAAACCACAAATGATTGTTCAAGAAAACAAAAAAAATCAATAACGGCATTAAACCACTTCAAACTCATTTAAAATTCATTATTTCTTTTCATTTTCTTTCCTCCGTCAAAAATCTTAATCAACTTTTGTTTAACAAATTTGGGTCCAATTTTGATGTATAGAGATCTTATTTTATTTTTGAGACTAAAGCCTCTTTATACTAGAAACTTTAAAAGATTTAGAGGTGTAAATTAAAATTTTCAAAAAAAAAGTGAAGAGTTCAATTTACATTTTTTTTTAAAAAAAATGGGGTCTAACTAAAAATTTTAAAAATTTGAGAGGCTTAATGAAAATTTTTAAAAATTATGGGAGGGATTTAATTAGGAACATTCAAAAATTTTAAAGCTTGATAAGAATTTCTAAAACGTTTATGGGGCCATATTATTTTTTGTTTTGAAAATTTTAAAGGTCTTAAATTGAGTTTTTCAAATTTTTTGGGGGCCATGGCCCCACATTTCCCCCACTATGTTCTGTCATGTTACGACGATGTTTGTATATTCTAATAATTAATCCACCCATTTGTATTTTGTAATAATTAGTTTTGACGGTTATTATAATATATTAGTTGTATTTATAATTTCGTTTTGTATATTATATATTAATTCTTTTTATAGCAATATATATATAGTTCAACTCTCACATTAGTCCTAATCTATTTAATTTCTTGTGACAATACAGTACTTATATAAATCCAAATTGGTCTTTGTCTACCGACTAATCTTTTAAGCTAACTCATTAGTGGGTTATAATTTAATTATATAATTATTGTTTTGTTGGTTAACTTTTTTAGTTAGGAACTCAGTTGAACAACTTAAAGGAAACTTATTAATTATATTTTTCTTGAAATATTTCTATTTTACATTAGCAACTAACATATGTTATATATGATTATAAATATATTTTTTCAAATAAAAAATAAAATAAAATTAACAAACCCATACTAAAACATATTTGTATTCACAAATTCAAAGTAACATAATTTAAAAAAAATAAAGTAAGATAATGACATATTAATAATATAATTATAAGAAAGAAAGGTCAAAACGACTACCCACCAACTTCACGATGTCTTGTCCCATTGCAAACCTACCTTAACCTTGGTTTGATTAGGTTAATTTTTTCATTATAATATTTCATTAATTAAACGATATTTTTTTAATTTATTAATTAACACTTGTTTGCAAATGGTTGTAAAAATAATGCATTTAAATAATTAAACTGCTCAATGGAAAATTATTCATATTTAAATATCGAAAGGAAAAAAAAACAATCATATTTGTAGGGTTATTATTATGTATTTTCTTGAAAGCAAAGAATGAATCCCTTTTCGCATGTGAAACATAACTAAATATATGAGACTTGGCCCTACTCAATATATATTGGACCGCCGTAATAAAGTAAATTATAGATCCAACAATTCATAAATAGTATTTTTTTTTCAGAATCTTATTAAGATAATTAATTTTTTATGTTTAATTATTTTTATTATAATCTCATCGAATCATTATATGATGTTTAAAAGTGTTGAGTTTAAAAATTTGTTATTTTTGGATTGGTAGATTTGATATTAATTCAAATGTGGATTATATAATTCATTAATTTATCTGATGAAATTATTAAATCTTATTTATTTTTCTAATCAATGTTGAAAATCTTAATATTTTATAAGATTCATGGATTGCTCTTAAAGAACTTAAACCACTAGAAAAGATATGGAATAAGAAGAAAACTAGGGTTTATTACACAATATAATAATGAGTTTTTTTTTTTTGTTTAGCAAAAGAAATACTATGAACTACAATACTATGAACTACGCTAGTCGACATCTCTCCTTCTGGACTATGGCTTCCACGTCCTCCGGTGCTTGTTGAAATGCATACAGACCACGAGACTGGTTCCATGCAAGTTTGGCGAGGGAATCTGATAGTTTATTACTTTCCCTTGAAATATGTATAGCTCTCACGTCCCAATCCTTCTCGAGCATATGATGATTATAAAAAGCAATCAGCAAGTAAGATGATATATTTTCTTTCTAATTTTATAATAAAATTATTTAAAACTCCAACTCAAAATCTTATATCAAACAAGACTTGATTTTTAAGCAAGCACCTTGATCTTGATCTTACTTTATATTTATTCAATAAATAATTCAATCAAATGTGGAGAGAACATTTATTTATTTTGAATAAAGAAAAGCGTGTGTTTTATTTAAATAGTTTGTTGGGCAGTGATTAGTAGATAAGAAGCCCTAATAAATCCAAACAAGCTTCAGCCCTGCAAATTTGTACCTTTTCTCTACCTCATAAAATAATAAGAAAGCCGCCGTTTCAGGATAACTTAAAAGGGCTTTGTGATTTCCAATTCCATAGCCTATCTGATACCAAAAGCACACACAAACTCGCATACTTTTCTGAATCCGCCATGGAAGATACCTCAAGAACACAGAGCCACACCATCATGAGAAGATCAATCTACACTTTCCTTCAAAACTATCATTATTTCACCACAATCGCTGCTGTCCTTGCTTTCCCTTACGCACTTTCCATCCTCCTTTCACAATTCTTCGTCCTCCATTCCCCTCTCTTCCCGGCTATCCACACCCACCTCAAAGCTGTTTTCATGGCGGCCGAGTTCCCGCCGTCGTCCAACTTCTTTAATGTCCTCAGTCTCAAGATTTCCCAGACCGTTTCTTCATCGATATTCGCTCTCCCTTTCACAGTTTCCTTCTTTCTGTTATCCAAAGTCTCCATTATCAACCTCCTCAAACACAATAACCCCACCTCCCCAATGTCCTTCTCTTCAATTTCATCTCTTTAC